ACTTCAGCTTCTTTCATCTCATCCTTCAGCTGCTCAACAAGTGCCTCCTTACCCTGAAGTGCCGCCTCTGCTGCTTTGGCTGCCTCCATGGCCTTCTCTGCCAATTGCTCCTTCACCTGGTGAGCAGCTTGCTGGCCCGCTTGTTGTTGCGCGTCTTCAGCCGCTTTGGCTTCTTGGGCTGCTTTCATGGCCACATTGGATGCTTGCATTTTGCCAGCAACACCACCTCCTCCTGCGCTCCCGACTCCTACCCTGGAGCACTCTGTCGCGCATATAGCGTATGGAACGAACAACAGGATCACTGTGTAGGAGAGCATATTCATATTGACATTTTACAAAAATCGACAGGTTTGACAAATGAGACGATTCGCAGATATCTTGACATCCCGTATCTAAGGGATTACGTAAAACTTAGTAGACTACACAGTCGAGCAAGCTCGCAGATAGTCCAGATCGCACCTCGCACTGTGATATGCATTTCTGACCACCTAAAATAATTTATTTACAAGACCTATGAATACTACTTTCTTGTAAAAACAAAGTTTTTTTTAGATTCACTGATTTCTTCGATTATAGCCGAAAAAACCAAGAATTTCGGTCTTTATGCGCTAAAGTGTAGTCTTACCATATTACTAATTCAGAATAACACAATTACCGAGTAGTCAAATTAATAATGCTTAAGCTTTTTCCACTTCAACTGATTTGCTTCGTTTCTTTGATCTATTCCTTCTTTTCTGTCCTTCTTTCCCTTTCCCCTTAAACTTGTCTGGCATCTGGATAGCTAGACCCTGACAGACTAACCGACGAGACTTTTAACTAAACAAAGATCCACCGGTATTATGTAAAAAAAAACTTATAAAACAACAAAAAAACTAATAACACGTCATCTTGCAGACAGTTTTTAGGGTGTAAATAGTTCATTCCACGTTTGCTCGCTATGACCGCTGCAAGCGTCCATCAATGGAGGAATGACTCAATTACACGCACTGTTGGTTGTATCTTTTTGTGAAGCGAGTAGTCTGTAGCTTTCATCTCTGAGAAGAAAGTTGGTTGAATAGCAAGATCGCATCTGGATGATTATGTGTATCGATCTGCATATGTATAAAATCAGTGATATTTGCTGTGTGAGCAAATTACTACTGAATATGCTCCAATGAAGTATGTATATCTATTAGCTGTGGCCGACGGGTATTTATCTTGTTGTCGCTTTTCTGTTCAAGTTATAAATTAGGATTTTTCCAGGTTTTCAAAAACTTTGAGGAGCACTACGAGAAATCGCCACCGAGTCCGCGTTGTGTGCATACGCCACATCACAGAAAAATTAGTAATGACGCATCACACATCAAACATTTTTGCAATGTCATCTAGGCGCTGATTTGTCTTTTCTATTGACATCGTAAAATAAATTAAATCGACATAATCACACTTTCCGCACGGGTATAACGTATCTTGAAAACTGACATTTGTTGGTTTTTTGACATTTCGCGTATTTTTTGTGACATAACGTGGGTTTTTCTACAAGATGCCAACTCTTAGCACAAGCTGTTGTTTACTTGTTGTGAACTCGTATAGCGAGCAGACCTGGACTGAACTATTTGCACACTAAAAACTACGTAGTCTGTAAGATGACATTTTGTCGGTTGTTTTACGTTTTTTAGTTTTTTTACATAATACCCCTGAGGGCCGCTCTGACGAACAAAAGTGAGCAGAGTGTCTCGGTTCACGAAATACTGAAATTTAAGCATCTAGCACATTCGCTATAGGTAACGGGTAAAGTAAGATACAATTTATTTGGTAGTGCAGTGTTTTTAAATCGTAGCCCAAAATTCATTGCTAGTACTGAAGTCAATAGCAAACCAATTTTTTTTCAATGCCAATGGATTCCTCAGTTTTGCTGACACATTGTCACTGGGTGTCCCCAGGGACCTAGCATTGTTTCTATTACATATCTACGACCTCCTCTCCTTTACGATGAATCTGATTCACAGCTTTGCTGATAACAGCACTCTACCCGTTGGCATTGATTATTTCAAGATGGCCTCTTCTGATGAGCTTGAGAAAAGAATATTAGTAACGACTTTAATGCTTCCAAAAACAGTACTGAATGTTGATTAACGGCTAGTCGGACTCCAGATCATCGAGTGCTCATTTTGGCGCGAATATATTTTTCAATCTTATCAGCTGCAGGTGAAAAGGGCCAAGAATTACTTCTCTCCACAAAACCTTCTTACTGTGTGCGCGGATAAGATAACACCCAGCCTCGAGTATCGCTCACATGTTTGGGCTGCTGCCGCCCCGACTAAAATGCTGTTTAGTGGGGCGCTGTCCGACTGATCGATGACACTTTTCTAAAGGACACGACACGACCGCTCTTAGGGTGTCGAATTGTGAAAAAATCTGCCTGAGAGGCTTTTCCCAGTTGTAAAACCTAAGGCAGTTCAGAAATCGACTAGCTGTCTTTAAGCTCGTTGTTGCAGTCGCGGTACCCTGCTATCTATGTTTATTCAACAACGAAATTTAGCCATACTCACGAAAAATGATAATGAGAACTTTCGATTAAAGATTGCATATGAACCAGCAATGTCTATGAGGCCATTGGCCTGATGTACATAACCCTAACTTTTATAATTTAATAAAAAAAAAAATAACACTCTAGGTGTATCCAATCCAAATGTTACGTTAATTTTGGGACACTCTCTAGCACATTATGTGATCTGTTGTCTCTCTCAATCCTTCCGAACTTGACAGAAATGTCACAGCAATATTGACCTCATTCGAAGTGCTATGCGATTTCAATTTGGAGCCCTTCTGTCCTTGTGTGCCATCGTTACTTTGGTGCATTGTGGCGGAGAAGGGAAAGGTGAATGCAAGAACGGCGCTAGCTCTAGTGGTGGAGGCTCAAAATCGGCCTCCAACATAGCAGTAAAGGCTATGCAAGAGGCCAAGGCGGCAGAGGATGCCCAACAGCCTGCGGGTCAGCAAGCTGCGCACCAAGTGAAGGAACAGCTGGCAGAGAAGGCTGTAGAGGCAGCCAAGGCTGCAGATGCTGCGCTGGAGGGCAAAGAAGAGCTGGTGCAGCAGGTGCAGAACGAGATGAAGGAAACTGAGGTTGTGGTAGGTATATTGATCTTCAATTTCATCCAGTAAATCATCGATCTTCCACTGCGAGTTTTTTATTTACTTTGAATCACTAGGAACTATTTATAATTGCCTTATTGTGGAGCTGTCCTTAAGATCCTCTTGGATTGAGCCTTTCTCATTACAGCATCCTACCTCTTTTGGCGATCACTTGACATCCATCGTGCATACTCATCAGCTTCTAGATTACCAGCTATTCCCATGAAACTTAGCACCTATGACCGAATTATTCTGCTGATTTTACTAATGTCAGTGGTTGGTCGGCAGAACCAACTAAGCAATTCATAGAGTTATAAAGATAACATCTCTATCTAGAGCCCATTGAGGAAGAGGAGTTAGGGAATGGAGCCTCAGCTCACACAGCCCAGCAGTCAATGAATGTGTTGAAAGTGTTACCATTACGTCTCGTCTTGTTGAAAGGTGGTGTGGAGTGGTCTGCACGGTCACCAGATTTATGCCCATGTCTTTTCTTCCTCTAGGGATAATTAAACGATATCTGTAAGCGAGCTGTTCAAAGCTTCTGGAGTCGTCTCCTGCAGTGTGTGCTAATGGCCGCCAGCTTAAAAAGGTTGTTTTCAAAACTTTATGGATGTTAAATGCTCACTCATAAAATAAAAACATTTTGTCTACAGATAGATATGCCTTTTTATAAGTCTTAGTTAGTCCTGCCGCACTCCGTATAAAGAATATGATGCCTTTTTCTTTGGCACGCTCTAAAGCCTCTTGATTAACAGTTATTCCCATGCGACTTGGTACTCCTGAGATAAGTTCTCGTTATCACACTCATTCACCTTTTGATTGACTATATCCATGAGACATTATTATTACTATACTGGTCTTTGCCATTGTTATGTGGGGCTCCTTTCTTAGCAAGCCCATCACCCTCTTAATTACCACCTATTTTCATGACAATTGGTACCCAGCGAAAACTACTCTACTGATCTTTGCCACTGTTAGTGCTTCGTGCGAGGCTATATAAGAAGTTGCACACTGGGTTCTGCTCTGTACACATTACTTGTTGCTGAAATTACTTTTTCATCAAGTCTGATGAAATTACTTAGGTAAACCAAGAACAAAGCAGTCTACAGCAGATGCAGCAAGCAGCTCAATCAGCCAGCAAAGCAGCCCAGCAAGCTGCAGCTGAGCTGAAGCTGATCCAAACAGCTCTGCAGGTGGCTGAAGGCAATGCACAAAATGCTCAAGTAGCACTGGAAGGTGACAATCAGCAATTGCAAGAGAAAGAGACCCTCTTGGACGCAGAGCGTAGCCATATGGACCAGCTCTCTAAACAGTTGCAAGAAGCCAAGGCCGATCTCGCCAAGACCAAGGAAGCTGAAAAGAAGGCTGAACAAGCTGCAAACGAAGCTAAGCAGAACGCTAATAGAAACAGGAGGAAAAGCCAAAGAAGGAAGAGAAGAAGTGTCTAAGCTATAGCTGCGCTCTTCGATTATTTTTATACTTACATTTTATATTTGTATATTGCTATTTAATATAGGAAAAACACGCCTCAGGTAGGTGGACTCTGCACTTCCTACGCAACGCCCTCATCAATTATATGCGGCACAAGTTAGTCTCTCTTAGAGAAAGGCAGGCTATGAATATGCGTAACAAAGGGATTAAATGAATCATGTGAGTCAAATAGGCTCATGCAATTAGTCCGTAGTTTTCATAGGATTGACAACATTGCGATCTAGCCTATCGAAAGTATCGACCATCTAGCAACTTTGCCTGCCGCGGCACTCGCAAAACCAGCACGGCATTGCTTACTCGGATACACGATACACGCATCATCGATAAGTTATGTAGAGCTGGGCTGGACCGGTCTTTTAAAGGATCCGGTCCCCTGGAATCGTTCCTTGTCGAACACGTTCTGAAGGATCCGTTCCGTTTCGCGATAGAGTCATACTGAGAGAGTTAATACGTACTCGTGAGTCTGTTTGAAATTCCTTAGAGTTGTCTACTAGATGCATAAATCTGGCAATAATTAGGTTCATTAGAGTAGTCATAAACTAAGAATGGATTTTGTGATATTATATTATATGTGGTTTAAGGGCCGTCACAATTTCATACATATTTACCTTTTCTTTCGAGATACTAGGCAGAAAGGTATCGTTTACTATGTAAAATTTGGTTTAATCTAACGTATCGATTTCAAGATTTTGGTTATTTCATTAATTTTAAGCGTACGAAATAGCAGATAATAGATATTCCCTATAATGGGCATACAATCCATTTGGTGGGGCAATATATCTGAAGTAATCGCAAAATTTAGGCAAGATTTGAATTAAATGGAAGACACATTTTTTTCTTCAGGTTGTTGTTTTTTATTGAATCATAAACTCACTCTGGATAATATATATATACACATGAAATAGTGTATCAGACAAGTGACTTTCTTGGTGTTGCTGACACATTCGTCACTTTTTTGTCAAAATGTCCGTTACCATAAATGAGACAATTTCATTGAGGTAATATTGAGTTTCCTGTTTCGGTAAGACTGTCTGTCAGTCTGTTGGCATATATCATTGACCTCTGAAAACGGCATCAAGTTAAATCCAACTGTGATAAATCACATATTCTATTGGGCCAAATGATGAACGAAATGACATGGCTACGGAAAAAGGCTCATGCAGCATATTGGATTATGTTATGGGCTGCATGGGATGTGGTTCCGTCTTGTTAAGATCGCACTTCATCCACATCGATGTATTTCAATACATCCAATGCTGCAACAACGACATTCAGTCACATTTATGAAAAATGGTATCAAGTAGATTAACTCTATACTTCCCGCGCATTCGAAACAACCTCTAGTACAATTTTACAAGTAGTGCAATGGGATCAAAAAGACGTAGGTTGTATCAGAGACATTCGTGCACTATTGGTGCTTTTCATAAAAAAAGTTTCCCTAGATTGCAGCAATGTGCGCGTGTCCGTACACAGCAGCCTCGCGTCTTTACAGCTATGGTGCTTTTTTCATCAGTGTTTGATAACTTATTATAATAGCTCTATAATATCGCGTCATCGGGCGGTCCGGTATCTGCTTATATTTCTTTCGGATACACTGCCAAAGATGCAACATTCACAATTCAGTAACAAGTACGACCGATAGGTAGGCGATCCGTCGGCTGAAAAGAGCGATTATTATTCTTTCGTTTTTGGCATTTTTCTTCACCACCACTAGACGACTAGACCTGTTTTTAAGAACCACAACGCTTTTTGTCCTTGGCATGGAAGTAAGAAATGTCATCCAAATAACAGCAATACTTTCCTTTCCAAGTTATAGATGGGCCAAGGATTTGCGGACAGACCGACAGACAGATCGACGCAAATGATTCACATGGTTTTTCGTGATGTACATGTCATATAAGATCCATAAACATGATATTTCATTTACAAAATTTTTTACGATTACAAATTACAATACTTTCTTGCCAGTAGATCACTGGAAATTTCTACAAAAGAGTGTTTCCTGATGTACTATTCCTTACATAATCCCCCCGTTTATGATTCGATAAAGAAATAACAATCTGCTTTCTATATTCAAATCAAACCTAGCATGAATTTTGGGACCCCCTCTAGCACTGTCTTGCGCCTTAGGTGTAGTTACAATCAACGGTCTATCTAGCTATCTAATTAAACTGGTCAGTCTCTTCGAAACATGACACAACCTGACAGAATGGTCAATATAAGAATGGCGCTGGTGGAGGAGGTTCAGAATTGGCCTCCAACTTACCCGTGAAGGCTATGCAAGAGGCCACGGCACCAGATGATGCCCGTCAGCCTGCGGGTCAGCAAGCTGCGCATCAAATGAAGGAGAAGCTAGCAGAGAAGGCTGTGGAGGCAGCCAAGGCTGCAGATGCTGCCTTGCAGGGCAAGGAAGTTTTGGTGGAGCAGGTACGCGTTAAGTTCTAGGTTCTTCAGTTTCATCGAGTAAATCGATCGATCTTTTATTGTGCCTCTTTTTTTTATACTCCAACTACCACGAACGCCTAAGGCCTAAACACTCATGGGGCACCGTGGGGATATAGGGGGATACAGGGGAAATGGGGGAACGTCACACGTACTCTGGCGAGGGAACACGAGATCCGCCGGGTGGTACCTCCGTGTTCGACAGTCAGAGACCGTCTACCACCTACGGACAATCACAACATCCATAGCCAAGAGAAACATTTTTCTTGGGACGGAGTTCGAACCTGCACAGCTCACGGCGACTGATCAGGAAGAGTCTACTACTGCGGCCACCGCTGCTGCCTAGAGACTATTATTGTTAGCAATCCTGCCTTACTGAGGAGGTGTACTCGATATTATCTTGAATTGAGGGTGTCTTCCCTAAACACATGGTGCACACTCATCAGCATCTGTATTGCCATCTATTCCCATGAAACTTAGCACCCACGACAGAATTATTCTACCAGGATTTTGATAATATTTTACAGTCAACGGTTTATACGGGGCCATATTATGAGAAGCTGTTGCCATGAGACTTGGTACACACGAGATAATTGCTTTACTAGTCTTTACCAATGTCTTACAGTCAGTGACGTGCGGGGTGTATAAAAAGTTGCACAGTGTTTACAGTTCTATGAAGAACGGATCACCTATTATACCCATAAAGAGAATTACTCTATTAATTAATCTTAACCAATTAACCCATCAGGGGAACACAAAATTGTACCATTAACTCACAGAAATTCTATAATGGACGGTAATTTGGATTTAGTTGATTTAAATAGTGTTCCTTAGCATAACGAAAATTTCCAAATCCTACCACAGGCAAGCACTGAAGAATTTTTGAAAGACTTTTTGACTTTGTCTTCTTACTGAAATAAGACAGCGCAAAGCGCCATCTATTACACCAGACTCGAACACTGCGGAAAGCTTATAGCTGCATAGATGGAACTGTTAGGCCCGTATCGTCAGTCGTCCCTAGAATTGTAGGGCGCGTTTATGGCCTCCTTGATTGTCATACTCCTTTCTCTCCTTCAAAAATTTCTAGATTACACTTGTCCCGTGTCAGCGTCAGCGCTCTCCTATTGTGAAGATATGTTTTCTTTTTAAATTGTAGGAAATGTCAGGCTGATAAAACACAATATAATTCAAAAGCAAGCACAATTTGATGCAAATAGATGTTTGTGACATAACCTCAAAATAGAGCGCTGACACGGAGAAGTAGAAAACTATGACAATCAAGGAGGCCATAAAGGCGCCCTACAATTGTAGGGACGATTGACGATACGGGCCTAAGGGATCTCAGTTCGCGTTTAATAGCCCAGTCACCATGTGACCGCTAGATGGATGACACTTGTGGCTGTAAAGTAGATGTGGTCTCCTTGTCATTGATTAAACTAAATATGATGCTTTCGTCCATACGACCGGAAAGACAGCCAACCATGGACAACTGTTTCCTGCTTCTTGGCTACTCACCAGCATATCTAGGCTTGGGCTGAAGCCTCTTAACAAACGAACGAAAGCATCGCAACTATACTCTATACCGGAGGCACGGTCTACTGAAATAAGACAGCGCAAAACTACATCAATCACACCAGAATCGATCACTGTGGAAAGCGTACAGCTGCTATTAGTTGGAACTGTTAGAGATATCATTTCCCGTTCAATAGCCCAGTCATCACGTGCTTTCGTCCGTCAGACCAAGAAGTCAGACAACCATGGACAGTTGTTTCGTGCTTCTCGGAGACTCCTCAGCATAGTCTAGGATAAAATAAAATCACACATATTTATGTCTATCAGTTGTACGTTGTATGTTAAAATTTATAACAACAGTTTTATTACAACTTAAAATTAGTCGACTTTTCAGGCAGATAATTCATCGAATACACTTTGAATTTTGGAGTGAACATGATTAACACTTTTTGCAGACATAGTTATAGTGGTATCATATACATATAGTGGTCCCAGTACATTGAGGTACACCATGTTCAGCAGGATATACAGGGTGGCCCATCCATGTGTGAACGGAATATTACTCATGAACAAATACATTTTGGGAAAATTTATTTGTGAAATGTTATACATGACATTTGAGGGCACATTTATAAAGGGTGACCCAATTTCGACCTACATATCAAAGTTGTGATTTTTCAAATGGAAAAACCTCCCACTTCGGCAACCCCTTAGTCCGCCATTTTGAAATTTGGAGTGCTGAATATTTAACAAAAAAACTTACACACCTCAGCTTTTATCTTATTTGTTGCTTTTTCGAATTTTAATTTTTGCTCATACAGGGTGGTCGAAAACGCAAATTGTAGTTTTTCTCAATAAATTCAAATGCATCCCCCTGTATATTTGTGCAAGTTTGGATTCAATAATTTATAAGCTTTTTTTGATACTAGACACATAAGGGTTTTTACGGCAATTCTTTCGGTTATTAGCACGTCTTTTATGGAACGGCCTAATTCCCTAAAATATCGCGTCATCCTTGGAAACAAATAAATTGTTGATTAGTTACAAACTGTCAAAATTAGCTTTGTGAGCATTATAATAAAAACGTGTTTGAAAAGAACTTTTTCTAAA